TTCTTATTTTGGCTCCTGCCGTGTGCCCTTGGCTAAGGGCTTGGAAACCACCCAAAGTGAGAAACGCCCCCTACATTTTGGCTTCGGCTGGCCTCTGCCCTCTGCCCCATGCCCCAGGATTAGGAAAAGGAAACCCCCCGATATAAGAAATGATCCCAAAACGTTGGGCACCCTTCGCCTCTTAGCCAGAAGGCATTGTAGGATTTCGGCTTTTCGGTGCTATCCGGCTGACATAGCCCCGACATTTCTTATCCAATCGTTTCTTGTACAGTGATTGCACTGTAGTTGCATAGTGTCTAGGAGGTCTAGCACGGCATGTGTTCAGCCTGGCATGGCCCTGCGCAAACTGAGGCGATCCCCGGCTTCCTAACAAAGTCGGAGATTTTCTCTCTGCAGCAAGCGACCTTGCCCGGAGCCCTGCCACTGGGTTGAAGATTCTTACGAAGTGCACCTTGCAAGCTAGGACATCTTAGGTGGCATTGAGCACTGAAGGTTTTTCCGGAGAAGCCTCGGTGGCTTTTCAGGGTGACTGGGTGACTGGCTGTCCGTGTATTTCGGAAGCTCATGGGCCCTACTGGCACTTCCACCGGTATCTGACTCTATTGGCCCGATAATGCGACAGTCGACGGGAAACCTTCAACTCAACAAGCTGAATTCGAAGGGTCATGGCGCAAACAATGGCCACGGTCGTCTCAGGAACTACGAGCAGCCTAGACGGCAGGTGAGGAGCCCAGAAGTCTTTTCGCGCTTACTTGCGGGACTTAGTCTTGAGTTGGTCGCTGCCACAGCCCGGCGTTGTGCATTCAAATGTTGATCTGCGGGAAAAAAGATGTGCCGCTGTGTCGGGGCATCTTGCGGCACGAAACAGATAAACAGACCTTTCTCGCTTTGCGAACCTGAGTATGCCACTGAAGCTGCCATCTATGCTTCAGGTGCGGAATCCGGCTTCTTGGAAGCAGCAGTGCACAGCGTTCGGACTCCCGACATGGGCTTGATAGTCACCGCCGTCTGAAAGAGATACGCTTGCCCGGAACGCGCTCAAGATGTCCGAGGATGGGAGCTTCACGCACTTCAACGAGCGGCACAAAGAGGCGTGGATCTGCGACGGCTACGACTATCGTGACACACGCCGCGTGCACCAGCTGCAGTGAGTCTCTGTGATCAACGATACCGTAAACATTCAAGGTGCTGAAAAGGGCAGTCAGACGTTCAAGAAGTTCTGAACTGCAGTGCTGATAATGAGGTGGAGCATGATGCGTGAGACCCAGAAACTTGAACAGACAGCGACACCGAGGTGGCCCCGCCTCGCCTACATGTTGGACAAAAACTTTCGGGCAAAGTAGAGGACATACTTGTGGTCAAAGTTTGTTCTACTGCGGGGCACAACGGTAGAGCAGACGTCAGAATGTGGACGTGCCAGCCGGTTGAGAAGACGCACAGCCGATGTCGTTGCAACATGTTCCACGGGCAGGAAAACTGCACGAAAAGCAGCACCGACATCTGCAAATGCAATGCGGACCCCCTGAGGAGATCCTTCAGCGCGCTGCTGAAGCAATCTGCTCCCCGTTGAATGGCATCATGTGCCGCTGGGAGCCCCCAGGCAAAGGGCTCGGGAAGGTCCTTTGTCTCTGTCAATGATGATCGCCGCGCGGTAGCGGGTGTGCAATTTGTGAGTCTCTGCCCCTGCTCAGCTAGCGCTGCTTTCTGGGCACAGACTGTAAAGATGTCGACCCCGACTGAGCACGGAAACTCCAAAAGGCAACCGAAGCACATATGATGAGTGAGCGCGAGAGTCGAAACCGCATCAAAAGCAGGATACTGTCATGCTGTTGATGATGTGCAATCGAACGCGACTCTAAAGCTGTTCGCGCGCTATGTCTCCTTTCTTCCCCCGACCTGGCAGAAAGTCCCTGGGGAGCGGGACGCTAGAGGAAGCATGCCTGACCTCACCTTCTGAGCGATGCTCAACAAGCAGATGCCGGACGACAGATAAGATCAGATGGAAATCGGAGTAGTACCACCGAGCAAACATCGTGCAGGTGTCCACCTGAAGGATGGGCCGCACACTTATGCCACACACTGCGGATGGGGAAGTGACTGTGTCATTGCCCTCATGGCGGTTGGCTCGACGCGAGTGACACTTGGTCCAACTCCTAAGGCTGCAGATGGTTTAGGAAGAGTTTAGGAGGTGCCAGGTCCTTGTTAGTAGGAGCCTGCAGAAAGGGCAGTGCGACAGCTCTTCCAAGAACAGGGCACCATTCGAGCCACCATGTTTTTAAGCGGTAGCGGCTTCTAGAGCGTTCTCTCGCCTGCCCTGCTTAATGAAATAGAAGTGTCCATATGCAGCATCTTCCACCGCGTGCAAACCATGATGAAGATCAGGTATCACATCCATGGCATTCCCTGGTATTATGGTCGCGGCCGGCGCGAGGTTGCTTCGGTCAACATCCCGCTCGAAGAAGGCTTGGACCTGAGCGTGTGAAGTGATGTCCAGAACGCGACATTGCTATGGTCCATGCACTCGCTATGTCAACGTTATGCGCTTGTCCATTAGATCAGCCTCCCCCCTTCGTCAGGTTTGCTGGTGGCTTTGGGCGGCCCTCTTCGTGAGAAATGGCTTTACTCACAGCCCCGTGATGAGGAATATCCGATTATGACTTATCCTGAAACTGCTCAGCCGTGCAACTTTACGTTAGCGGGAAAGAGCCGCTTAGCCGAAGGAGATTCTCCCCGAGCGGGTTCAGTTCACGCTGCAGCTTCATGCAGACGCACAGGTGATGAAGGCCTTATCGTTGCGAAAGATGAGTTACTGACGCGAGTTAATTGGATAAGCTGGTTTGTACCTCCCCTTTGTTTGGATCAGCTTTGAGAGACACTGACTCAACCCGGCAGAGGAGAATAGTGAAGAATCTGGAGTGGATTGAGTTCCTCGGTCGGCGCAGTCTTCCCGGTTGCGCATGCTAGATCATGCTGGCCAATCCTGTGCGGTGACCGTGCACTGTAATATAATATACTATAACTGCCTGCTGCATGTAATCGCATGTAGCCGGACCTCATCTGAGCAGGGGGGAGATCAAGCCGCCGCCGACAGCTGGACGGAAGACTGTGAAGGCAGGTCTGGGAACTTCTCGCAGTGTCACCAGTGAGACAAAGCCTGGGCACAACGTTTGGCAGCCAAGTTCGGGAATCAGCGCAGTCACACAAGCGACGAAGGCTTCAACTGTCGGCACGGGAGTTCACGGCAGGAAGTGGGTCCTCACTTCCCTCGCAATTGCGTGCTCGGACTGCCCTGTCATTCAAAAGCAGAAAATGGCCCGCAAAGGTCAGGGGAAAGACTATGCCGCTATGCCATGTGCGCGTGCGCGCGCGCGTGTATGTGTGTGGCTTTTCTTGTTGCAGGCAACATCGGCAGGCAACATGGAGCCAGAACACTATAAAATATGTTTCGAGCGACAAATAAGAGGGCAAAGTTTCGTCCGTCCTTCATGGCTCACTAGATGCTGAGAAACCACGTGAAACTTTGCCGAGCCTCCGTCGCTGGAAGCAAGTTCGACGCATTTCCACGAATCAGCCTTATGACCTCTACGCTGTCGTCGCCGGCAACATCCGGTACCGTGGTTCCTCCATTGTTGTGGGCAGGACCTGGATTTTCGACGTTGGTGCACAAGTCATAGCGGCCATAGCGTTTTGCAGAGCTGAAGACCGGCTGTGATCTGATGATGCAGGCGTGTCGGCGGCTCGCAAGCTGCAGGACCGCGCAGGTCAACGAGAGTACAAGCATACGATGCACCAGCATGTGCCTGTTTCGAATCAGGGAGTCAGAGTTGCTTCTCCCAGTGCATGCACTTGTCGAGTGTTCGGTCTTGCAGGATGTTGAACATGTCTTGGATTCAGGATGCAGCCGATCACCTCGACCAACCTCCGGACACCGCTTCCGCCGGAAGATGGAGAAGAGCCAGACTCCAGAACCGCGTTGCTGAAGCAAAAAGCCGAGTGTTTGCCTGACGTTCACTGCTTCCGATGCGTTTGCCGAAGCATTCACGCCTCTTGTGGAGAGGAGTGGTCTGGAGGGTTTGCCAGAACGCCTTCCTTCGATTTCGTCCGATTTAGCTGTCCCTTGCTGTCCTCATTTCCTACCAAGCGCGGCCTTCGTCTTCTCGAACCTGACCCCAACCGCGGCTCCTTGTTGTGGATGGGATTTCTCGCGAGTCGTCTGATACCATGTGGCAATGTGTGGCCTGACCATCTTGGCCCATCCTGGCGAGAGGGCTAGGTCTGCGCACCACACAGCATGCATGTGAAACCTCACGGGTCCATGCAGCACATCGCAAGACTGTAAGTGACTGGTCTGACAAGTCATTACTTAGCATGCGAAGGAGCATCTCCGAGCAGAGCTAATCTGCAGTTTTCCGAGCAATGCTCTTGGCCAGGTTATCGTTACCCCATGCTTACGGCGACCGTGGCCGTGGCCATGTGTTCCTTTCCATATGCCCTCGACTCGGAGCCCGCCTTTTTGAGCTGGTCTGCGCAGGGTATTCTGAACTGACTACCGGTTACCTGAGTCGTGCGAAGTTGTTTCTTGACGCGAACTGTGTCCGCTTGCATAAGGTTCCTCCGCGCGACTTGGCAAGCAGCGCAGCATGCCGACTCACCATGGGGCTGTTGTAATTAAGACCACTGAGAAATAACAAGACGTTGTAGATGAATGATATAGCCTGCCGGGAGCCAGCTGTCTTGAGCATGTCGGGTGCGCTGGCGGTACCCTTAACCCGAACCGCAAGCGTGAATATTCACGGGAGGCAGAAAAATTGGTGAACATCGCATGGATCGGTGCTAGATGACCGCAGCACATGCAGTCATCAACACCGTGGCATCCAAACTTCCCCGGCCGGCACCTGAACAAAAAGCGACATCGGGTCCCGCCGGTATAGGCTTGCCCCACGGGTTGAAGACGTCCACAACATTGCAGACTTCGCACCTGCTACCTTGAAGAACCAAGCTGGCAGGGCCGTACTTTGCAGCGGTCCCGACGTCGATGATCCGACCTCTTGACAAGACTCTCCGAAACAGCTCTGTGGCCGAGACAGGAGCAGGACAAAGATGCTTGTTCGCCAAATTGGGGTGACTGGCCCACTGTGGAACAGGCGATTGCAGAAACCAAATGGGCTCGAAAAGTAGGCGGGGATTCCTGAACGCTGAAACCTGCTATCCGGGCTCGTCTTAGCAACACAGTAACCCGGAAACGTGCCTTGCATCGCAGAGCAAGGTTCGTCCTGGCCAAACCGCACCAAAAAAACATCTCAGCAAGATCTTACTTACGCTGTCGGTCCAGATTTGGCCTGTCTGGTTCTGTGAAACTCTCAGGGCCTCTGCCTGGCGACGGTGCTCAAAGTGACCGGGACCGTCGCAGTCTAGTGAGAACTGAGATGCGGGCACTAGTAGCGGTATGCAGACTGCGGTGCAGTGCGTGCTAGCACTGTGCTAGCCGTGCTCTTCCAGGACTGCAGGCTGATGCTGGCGTTTTCATCAGCAAGCAGTCCCATGCAGCACCGTGTCGGGTCACACGATTTGACTGGTGGCAGCCGTGGCCTTGTGAAGTGGCAAGAGAGGGTGATTGTGGAGCCACTCGGGGCTCCGTGAACTGAGGTCGAATCCGACCACCCTGCTTTCGACCATGAGGCCAGCCGATTAGTCATGCCCACCCTAGTCGACAGCTTTTGGGAGCATGGCTTCAGCAGTTATATGATGTATTCCTGCAGGCATAGCTACAGAGTCCTGCCTCAGAAAAGAAACAAGAAAGCATCCCCTTTGCTGGTACTTGCTGGTACTTCTCGTGATCCCGAACAGCTTTGTTTCGAGTAAGGTATCGCTGATCAACGTGCTTGCTAATCAGCTAATCCGTGGGACAGTGCTGTAAGGGACAGATGATCCGAGCATCAGTGGCCAGGACAGTCGTTTGATTCAGAGTAGTCTTGGAGAGCCGCGCTAGTCTCGTCAAACAGCCTGTCTCAGGTGACATTGGTGACGATGCGGCTGCAGCAACTCGATTTTTCAGGTTTGGGGTTGTGCACCTTTCAACAAGGAGTGGATCTGTGACGGAAAGCAGGCCCGTGCTCTCACCAAGCATCGTGTGATAGGACTCATAGTTTATATTTTCCACAGATCTACTCCCGACACAGCCCCGTGAAACTGAAATGCAACCGTAGCTGCAGCAGAAAGCAGGAGTTGCCCTACCGTGCTTCCAAGTCAGGAAACCGTATTTAAGCACGCTTGGCGACTCCATGCAAAACAGTTTGGTAGGAGCGGTGGCACAAGCTATCTCACGGTAGCTACTGGCCGAATTTGGCTGCAAATTTTGCAGACTGGTTCCCTTTGTGAAGCAGCTTGCCCAAGCTCTGATTGAGCTTGCTGCATGTGGCCCTCGACCATCGCGGCCGGATGCCAGAGCAGCCACACGTACTGCGGCGCGCGCAGCTGATGTAATTTTGATGATTTGGCATCAAGCGCGCGCAGCCACAGCAGAGTCTGCCAGAGCTGTTAGGGGAGTTTTAGCTGGCACCCGGGCGCATTATTCCTTCAGTTCTAGATGGATACAGAGCTTCAACACCATGACGAAGCCAACATCAGTTTCATGCTAAGCATCTGCAATGATCAGCGATTGGAGGGCGGGTATGAAATCGTTGCGGCGCGCGATTTCTTGAGCCCTCGCATGCAACAGTTGTGCGATTGGCTGGGCCCCTGAAGTTCAATCTGCATGGTGGCCTAGCTGTGACATCTGTTGGGGCTTGCTACCGGGCGATCTCAAGATTCAAATCTTCGCATCGCCCACACTGCAAGGATTCGGGTGCACGTCTTCCCAACTCTGAACAAGTCTCAGACGCACTACATGGGCAGAAGCCGGGTTGGGTTGATCCTTTTGCAGTCGGCTCCACACCATGGAGCCCAGTGATGGCATTCGCGTCTTCGGTTTGTCTGGCAATCTGCTGGCGACACTGGATCACAAGAGACTGCTAGCGGCTGGGGATTTTGCTGATGTGCTGAAGAACGACTTGCAGCGTGAGACGCTTGGCTTAGACTTTGGAGCGTGCCTGCCTTCTAGGTCTGTCTTGCAGTGGAACGGAGGTGGGACAGGCGCTTTTTCAGAGCTAACGTGCCGGTGTCTGCCCCCAGACCTCCCTAAACCTTTTCGCTGAAGGACAGGAGTTCCTGGTTGTCGGCAACGGCTCTTCTGGGGCGAAACCGAGGTCTCGGGAAAAGAGCTGTAGTCATGTCTGTGTCAGACGCACGTGCCTAGGCCACACATAGTATGCGAGTGCTCTGGCAGAGCCTGGTTCTCCAAGCATGTCTGCCTTGGAGGTTTCCTCGGCAACATGTCCCTGGGGCGACACGGCCTTGCCAGTGAATCTTCAGCTGGTCATCATGCCGCTGCGACATGATAAAACGAGAGAGCTTCGCACTGCCACTGCCTCGGGTGCCCTGGCATAGATCACATCACAAGCTGCATAAAATATAGCATTATATAATTCACTATATAATATATGTGTATATATATTATGATCATAGAGATGATGAGATGTCACGCACGCGAGGCAAGCTGGAGTTTGTGCAGCGTCTCCTCACAGAAGGACAAGATCCCAATTCTCCTGGCGAAGGGGCAGAAATGCCCCTCCACATTGCCGCAGATCGCCGCCGCTTGGCGATCGCTGCTGCTTTGACTCAGGCTGGCGCAGACCCAAACGTAGTTTCTCCGCTGGACGGAGCGACCCCCCTTTCTGCTGCAGCCGCACATGGGAATCTGCGCATCGTTCAGCACTTGTTGCAGGCCCATGCCAGTCTGGATTTGCCAGGTTCTAACGGCAGAACGCCTTTAATAATGGCCACCATACATGGCCACCTGGGTGTAGTGGAGCACTTGGTCGAAGAGCATGCTGATGTCGACAAACCGGGGGTCGGTCAAGCAGCACTCACAAATCCGCTGTGGAGTGCTGCAGAATGCAACCATTCACGGATTGTGGCGACGCTCCTCCGTGCTAGGGCTGACGTCGACTGGAACAATCCAGACGGCAGGACGCCCTTGTGGTGCGCCGTTGCCAATGGAAGCATACAGTCTGCACGATATTTGCTGAAGGCTGGTGCCAGCGTGAACTGCACGGATCAGCATGGGGACGCGCCATTGTGGGTAGCAGTTGCGTGCGGGCAACCCGAAGCAGTCGAGTGTTTGATTGCAGCACTCTCTGATGTGAACCAACTAGCCGGGAACGGCCAGTCTCCGCTGTGCACAGCGGCCCTGAGATGCGACCTACCTGCCGTCCGCCGGTTGTTGAGGGCGGGTGCCGACGAGAGAGACTGGCAAGGCAGATCGCCGGCAGACCTAGCCATCAGCACGGAGGCGCCTGTAGAATACCGTGCTCCAGTCATGTCAGATTCGCGCAATTTCCAATACTACTGAACAGCGAGGTGAAAAAAGAGCTGCACAAGCACGGTCCCAAGATGCTGCCACGAGACCAGCATGGTGGGGATTGAACTTGAATCGGTTTCGGGCTTGCGGTTATTTTCGCTTGGGAAGTGTCAGGGATTTCTGGTGCCGTGTCGGAGAGTACGACACAAATCAAAATATGCATGATCACCGCTGTTCCTCCTGTGTGGGACTTTCATGTGGAGAGAGTTCAAAGGTGGTAGTCTGACGTGAAGCTTGTATGATTGACCGTCCAGTCGTGGCAGGCGAGCGACCTCGGTTGAAGCTTTCCAAAGATGGAAGTGCCAAGAGAAGTCCAGGTCCGGGGGCATGCCTGTCAGCAGACGCTTCCATGTTCATGACGTCGCCCCAAAGCCCAGACACATCCCAACATTCCGGCATCCTGATTTGACGACCTGCTTCGTCTTGTGGTACTGCATGGCTCGGGGAAGCCTGGGAGCCGTGTTTTAGTTCTGGCACCTCCGGGCAGGCTCTGCCAGAAGCGACGTGCAGATTGCAAAGGCAGCAAAACATTGAACCATCAATTGCAGGCGGGGTCAGGGAATCATTTTCGAGATTGAAATTTGTAGTCATACATCAAAACAGATCTGGAGTCAGTTCGTAATGTTATCTCTGTCGTTGTAGTCGTCGCCGGCATACTCGAACTCACATTCGGGTGGCAATCCTTTGATTCGTGGTTCCTTCCGATCATTGAAGCCGAGCCTGCTGCCGCGTTCTGCGGTTGAATACAGTTTGAAGGCTAGATAACTTATCCCTCTGCGGTGATACTACCACAAGGCGAGAGTAGATACTTGGGTATGTCAGTCCCAACGGGGTGGTGCTCTTGGTGTTCACGGTTGGTTGGCGAGGCAGGAACACCGGCCCTCTCTCCAAACTGACGTCTGCGTGTTGTGTTTGCTCCAGCATGCAGCCAAGCAGAAGCTGCAATCGTAGAAGACTCGTCACATGCTGTGCATGTAGAGTAGCTCGCCAAGCTATAGTGGATGGTTGCAGCCAGGCATGAGTAGTATTGCCATCCTCGTTGCGCTTGTTAGTACACTAGCTGTCGCGGTTTTCCCTCTTTCTATTGCGGATGCTGCCCCTGTCGCTGTGGTATGGCCTTTGCTCTGGTGCGGTTCTCCACTGTGCAGAAGCACTGGCCGTTACGCGGGTCCTTGCATTGACACCCGTCGCCTCCGTCGTCCGGTGGTGGGTTCTGTTCCAGTGCGAACCGTGTTTGCAACCTGCCCCGCACAAGAAGACGATGACATGCAAATCACGACTACGTGCCCGCTACTTTTGCTATATTTAAGGTGCCAAGTTGCCATCGAAAACGTAGGAGAGTCACATGAAACGTGGCACCAAAAGGTCCTATCCCGGCGACTGTTGATCTATTGGCAGCTTGACATCGCGGTGACGATCCCATCCTCTGAAAACAGCAACTGTCACGGAGGATCGAACGGGCTCGATCCTGTGATTGATGTCGCAGACAGCGCCGGGGGGCATGGGGGGCCGAGAGACTGGGGAATACCATTGTAACAAGACCTCCAAGTCCTTATTTTCTTAGTAGGAGGGCGGGCCAGGAGTCACGGAGGGAGTATAATCTCCGCGTGTTTAAAACTCGGAACCGAACTGATGTCCTGTCCCTTTGTGGAGCTGGCTGAAATCCCTTGCCACACACGTGGTAAGCATGACGAGGCAGTAGAACGACTGGCCCAGAAGCTCCTTAACCAAATTGACGGATTCTGCCAGGATGACAGGTGCATGGCGACCGCACACATGACGTCATACATCCCGCCAAATATTGGGACCTAGATGAGGGAGGGAATAAGTTTATACTTGCTGGCCAATGTCCCAGAGCCCTAAACTCCCTAACCCGACTCTCCCTTGCCCTACCTACTGTATCCCACGCCCTGGCCACCTTTGCCAGTCTAAGTATGCCTGAACCTACCCCCTTCACCATTGTGTCCGTTCGCTCAGGACCGGGAAAACCAGCGCACAAGGATGCCCGTAATTCCCATGCTCCTAGCTTGATCGTAGGCCTCACCCAATGTGACGGAGGTAGACTTTGGATTGAACACCCCGAAGGTAGCGTGCCAGGACCATTTGGAGTCAGGGGATTTTTTCAGGACATCTATAGAAAGCCCATCCTTTTCTCATCCAAAGCACTTCTACATGTCTCTGAAAGATGGCAGGTAGGGGAACGGAAAATACTGACAGCTTGGTGCCCACAGGTAACAGTACAGAACGAACCAAGCTTCAACACCCTACTGCAACTACATGGCTTCGAACCCCCTGCTCTACCCAGTGACCTAGACCACTACAAATACACCACATGTTACGGGCACCAGGTAGTACGGCAACTAGACATAGCGACAAGCCTTGCACACTCAGCAGACAACACAGACATACAGGTGGTTCACGCATCCCAAGAGGAGCGCGAGGATCGATCACAACGCCGGTCACGCTCCAGGTCGCCCTCGCGGGTCGACTAAAACTAAGGTGGACCGTGGAAGACACAGCGCGAGTGCAACTCGCCTCCTGCATGACCCATAATTCAGCACCCCAAGGCCCGACGTTCGTAACCTAATTCAGCTTAATTCATCGCGTCGTACGTTTCTCCTACTCGAGACTCCGTCTAAAGGCCCCCCCCCCCAAAAAAAACCTAAGTAGGAATTCAAGCCGCAAGAGCTGAGGACTCCACCTTACAGCCCATGCCTAACTCTACTGTAACTACATTCCATACGTACAACTGCGGACACCCTACCCAGTCATGCCTTGCCTCACTCCAGATATCACAATCACCCCGTGAGTCACTCGCTCTCTCACTCCTCCCAACCTTCTCCCCGTTCTGTCCGCTTGAATCCTAGTCGTGGTCGGTCGCTCCCTCGCAACACTAGACGAGGCTCCAGCCATGGAATGCGCCCACGCGGTAAAGACCCAGACTGCATGGGTGAAGAGATCCACTGTGGCCCACATGGCGCACAACTCTGCTGAAGCTGGCAGAGAGAGCTGCATGCCCATACATAAGCCCCTGGATCTGAAGACATGGCATGGACGCGAATTCGACTGGCCTAGAACAGGCAAGACTGCAAACTGGGAGGTCACAATCCGCAGGTGAGTTGATGAACCGTTGAAATTTTCTCTGGAACCTGGCTCATCTGCAGCCGACAGCTGGGTGACTCAGAAGAGTCACATTTGCAGACCTGGGACAGGCAGCATGGCTTTGAGGATGAGCCTGACTAGCCTGGATAAGCACGACTGCAAAGACGGAATTCAAGACAGCTGGGTGACTCAGAAGAGTCACATGTGCAAACCTGGGACAGGCAGCGTGGCTTTAAGGATGAGCCTGACTAGCCTGGATAAGCACGACTGCAAAGACGGAATTCAAAGCGCGAGGACAGACGTGGAAAAGCACACTATGAGCCAAAGGGACGTATATACGAACTGTGGATGCGCACGCGACTTCCCTCACAGATGGACGGCTTGACTTGAGACGAGGCGAGCCCCTCCGGAAACCAACTTGTCCGAGTGAGGATAAGATCAGGTGGGAACAGAGGTCAAATGGTGACTCATATGGCTGTGATCCCAGCCTGCAACCTGTGCGGCTCCACAGAGAGCACGAAAGACGTGTTCGAGTACTGAGAGTGCATGCGGCAGTAATTCCCACGCATGCTCGTACAGACCATGCGTTTTAATTGGGTGCAAGTTCTTAATTTACTAACAGTAGGCGTGCATGCCATACCTTTCAAAGTAACCACCTTCTGAGTATACTTCAGTTCTTCAGCGCAGCCTCAAGATGAGGCATTGGCGAGGGCCCAAGGTTCGGTGGCTTCTAGACTGTTGGTGGAAGCTTTTGCTTCCCTTGACTTGTCTAAGCTTATTGCATCTTGTTAGAGACCGAGAGGGCAGCCATGTTGCGCACACTTTTGTGCGCCAGGCCAGAGTTCCCCCGCAAGTGTGAACCCCTGGGTATTTGCCCAGGTTTCTATTGGGGATAGTGTTCGTGCTTGGAGGAACTCTCGCTAGAAACAGGGATACCGACGGGGCGACAGTCTTCCGTGTTCTACCGGGTGTTACTTGGCTTTGGCGTTTTCTTGGGAAGACTGTGAGCTTCCTTGGAGTCCCCCCAACAAACTCTAGTAAAGTACGACGTCTGAACTCCCTGCGGTGCGACATTGTCAGCTGGGCGGGGCGGGTGGGAAAAAATGAGTTCTAAAGGTATTTAAGTACCTTATACACACGTGTTGCGCGCACACACACACACACACACGCACACGAAGAAGTAGGCCGCCTGCCGTGTGACTTGAGAGATCTTCAGATGCCATTTGAGTTTCTGTTGTAGGGTTTCTTTAAAAAACGGCAGAGGAGGCAATGCTGGCNNCTGGCAGTCATCAAGTCCGCTTTCAAGAGGGTGTAGAGAAAACGCGCTAACTGCCACAGTTAGGGTTTTGAAGGTCGGTAGCGTTCCAATGCAGCACTTATATAAAGGAAATCCTCTGAGCGGCCCTAGCAGGTTCTTTTCCCCTCCAAGCCCAGCCCAACAGGCCTAACTGCCGCAGTTAGGCTGTTTTCCTTTCCGCCAACCCCCAGGCAGAGCCCTCTCAGCAAAGCAGCCCTAACCAGCCCAGCCCCAGCACAGCCCAAAACAGGCTTACCTGCTTTTGGCTTGCCAACCGAGCCAGCCCAGCCCAGACCCCAGCCCAG